GAAGAGAACAAATTACTTGCACCGGAACGAGACTAGAGACATCACATATATATATATGTGTGTGTGTGTGTGTGTGTGTGTTAGTGTGTGTGTCAAGGTAGCAAATATGTGTATGTATATACAACTAGAACTTTCTACCGGAGTTTACAGCCCTTGAAAGCGAAGAAGAATATATATGTATGCGTGTATGTGAGTATGCGTTTGTGTGTGTCTTGTCTTACACCCACCCACACACATATAAATAAATTAATTAAAAAAAGTATATATATATATATATAAGTAATGACACCGCGGGGCGGTCCGCAACTCTGCCCACCCGCTCCCACTACTCCTACCTACATCCCTACAGACGTCTACATTCTGTGGTTACATCATAAGGTAGACCTGTAATACATGGTGACAAAAGGGAAAGTAAGAGGGAAAGAGAGGAAGAGGTAGACCAAGAGAGGCACGGTAAAATATCAGTATCAGAAATGGCTGTCATAACACGAGACGGAAGGCTCAGAACAGACATGATAGCGAAAGCCAAACAGCCTGGACTTAAAGCAGGAAAAAAAGATGTAACCAGAAATTAATTTTAAAAAAAGAAAGAAATCTACAAGGTGTGACAGAAGCCCGTAAAAAATTATCAAGGAAGAAAAGAATTCTTCAAGGTATAACAAAAGCTCCTAAATGTTAACAAAAAAAAGAAAATAAATATATAAGGTATGACAAGAGCTCTAACAAATTGAAAAAGAAAACAAAATCTAAAAGGTATGGCAAAAGTTCTGAAAAATTAACAAAGAAGCAAATGATTATACAACGCGTGACAATGACAAATGCTATAATAATAACATACAAAAAGTATGACAAAATCTTTTTTTTTTTTTTATTTAACAAAGAAGGAAAGAAATATACAAGGTAATACACGACAAGAGCTCAAAAAATAAACAAAGAATTGAAGAAATATACAAGATAGGATAAGACCTCTAAAAATGAACAAAGAAGGAAAGAAATATACAAGGTAGGACAAGACCTCTAAAAATGAACAAAGAAGGAAAGAAATATACAAGGTAGGACAAGACCTCTAAAATGAACAAAGAAGGAAAGAAATATACAAGGTACAACAAGACCTACAAAAATGAACAAAGAAGGAAAGAAATATACAAGGTACAACAAGAGCTCTAAAAATGAACAAACAAGGAAAGAAATATACAAGGTATGACAGAAGCTCTAAAAATGAACAAACAAGAAGGCTGGATACATGGAAGGTAGGATACGAGATCTAAAAACATTAGAACCCCCTCCCCCCTACCCACCCCGGGTGGAGGGTATAGAAAGTAGGATAACAGTTTTCTGAAAAATGTACCAATAAGACAAAAAACACAGATAATACAAATAAAATAACAAAGACAAAAAAAATATAGAAGGTTGGAATAGAGCTCTAACAAATGACTAATGAGAAGAACAGAAATAAGAAGATAAGACAAAACCTACAGATATGGGGGGGGGGATGGGGGGGACACAAGGAAGCACGGTAAAATAGCTAGAAAATGGAGCGTGGAAATATCGGAGACACTGATAATTATAATATTCAGAGAGAACAGTTGTGACCGCTCCAGGGAAAAAAAATCACAGAAGATAGGACAGGAACTCAAAGGGTAAAAAAAGAAAAAAACATTCACGGGCAAGCAGAAAAGTAACAAAGAAGGCAAGGTTAAACGCCTCGCATGGAAGCCGAAGTGAGCTAACAGCAGAGAAGCAGTTCTACTTTGAAACACTGAGTTCAGTAATATATCAAGCTGTCGCTCTCACGCAAGCGTGTTTCCTTTTTTTATTTTTTATTTTTTTAAGTTGGTTCCTGCCAACGGTGCATGCGTGGAGTCAAGCAGGCTCCCAGGTTGAAAAAATACGGAGCCACGACAATTAAAGACTGGAGCGAAGTTGGGGCCTCGCCAGGAGGATGGGCAATTAATATACGTCAAATTAAATAAAACAAAATGACAAGGGCAAAGAACCGGAGTTGGATGTAGAAAGGGAGGGGATGAGAGTAAGCAGAAATAGGAAAGGCGGGAGACGGTAAGTAAGATGGAAGGAAACAGAGATATAGACATATCCGAAGGAAGATAAATTAAGAAATCTAGGCAGGCACATACAGAGAGAGACAGAGAAAGAGAGAGAGAAAGACAGAGAGGGGCAGAGAAGATGCGAGGGCGCCTAAGACAGACGTACTGGGTTGATTCCATCCTACATCGAAAAGATTGGGCATGATAGAACGGAACTGGTAAATACACTACAAGTCTTTTGGGGCGTACCAACAGCATATCAGCATGACGATGATGATGATGACGATGACATTGATGACGATAACACTCATGATGATGATGATAATAATGACTGTAATGATGATGATGATGATGATGACTGTGATGATGATGATGATGGCGATGATGATGACGATGCTGTTAATGATGATGATAAATTTGATGATGATGATGATAACGATGATGAAGATAACGATGATGATGACGATAATTATGGCGATTATAATGACGAAAAAGATTACTATAATGCTGACTATGATGATGATAACGATGATGATGACGATTACGATGATGATGACGATAATGTAATTAACCTTTAGTACCTACTGTTCCGTTTCTCTCTGAATGTACAGCACCCACAAAAGGAACGTTTTCTTTCTTCAAGTAGGACAAAAGCATTCCAGAAAGAAAAGAAACTATGACTATGATTTGTCTCATTAATTCAACTCTTCCAATAGCAATTTTTTTTACGAATTCAAAACGTAATTCAATGTCTGCTCTTTGCTCCAAGCTGCATACGTAACAAAGCAAATCTCACTAGTTGTGATCAGCACAGCATCGACCACCGAAACCGCTAGCAACCATTTTGAAAGACGGGTGTGATTAATGCGCTATGAAGCGACAAACAGATTCTTACACGAACTGAGTTTATATATAAGAGCACAGGCTCTTACGCTATAGCGGTGCATCTGATTTCATAGTAATTCCTTTATAGTCACAAACAACTTCGTTTTGGCAATCCAGTATGATGGAACAGTTTATGAAAACACACAGAGAATGAGAGGCAAAGAATACACAGAGAGAGAAAAGGGAAAACATAAAACAGAGAGTGGAGAGAGACATGCAGAGATACAAAGAGAGAAGGAGGGAGACATATAGAGAGAGGATGAGAGAGATATACATTCCAAAAGAATGAGAGAAAGACATACAGAGAGACAGAGAGGAAAAGACAGAGAGAGGGAAGAGGAAAGAGAGACATACAGAGAAAGAGAAGGAGAGCATCATACAGAGAGAAAGAGGCATACAAACAGAATAACTGAGAATGAAAGAGCGTTGGGGATGGAAGAGAAGGGACGGAGAGACCTCTAGCGCCCAAGAAACAAACAACGTAACACCCGAGAATAGTTAATGTTGATTATGACAGCTGGCGCTAATGATAATGAACTGCATGGCTGTGTGGTTACGACACTCTCCTAACACATCCGGTGACCTGGGTTCTAATCCCCTATGAGTTAAGTGATTACTGCTTTGCGGATGTATAACCAAAGAAAAATCATAAGCTGGCTTGCACACAGGCGACCTGTATTTCCTCATTGCCTCCGCCTTAAAAAAAATCATGGTATTAAGTACAGTGCTGCTGGTTCTTACAACCATTAATATGGTAAAAGAGAAGCCGGTTCTTCATTCACATCCTACCCCCAGATGACGTCACAGGACAGTCCAATAGTTTAGAGGGTGGTAAGACGGGGTTTTCCGGCTTTCTGATGCTTTTAACGACACCAAAACATCTAGAACTAGGCCTAACCCCAACACACCTATGTCCCACGAAAGAGTGCAGCCTAGGTCCCACGACTGCATGTAGCCTATCTACCACCCCTGAAATATTAGACTTTCCCGTAAACTGTGCATTTACCCTATTTAGGGTAGGATATTAATAAAGCACAGAGACGCCGTTTCAATTATAACTTTAGTTTTGAGAACAGAAAATTATCAACTCAATACGGATAAAAGTTGCAGCTAAAATGAATTCGACAGGAGGGACTGCGCTGCACAGGGAAACAATTTATAATTCGGCCTCTGTCCGCAGAACTGCCAGCCGTCTACCAACAGCGTCACGAAAAACACAAACTCCACAGCTCTACCCACGATCCACACGGGCCCTATAATTCACTGTAGAGGGATTTTATAACATCGGGTTATATCCAGGGCTGTCGAAGTTGGTACTTTTGTACACATATCGTACTACTTGACTGCCTAGCAAAATTTTACCTATGGTATCACGCCTGATGTTTTTGTACCTTTAAAAAAAAGACGTTGTACTAATCCCCTTAAAAAAATGTCGTCAGCCCTGGTCATATCTTCAGGTAGCGGCTTAAATTACAAAAAAATAAAATTCAAAACATGAATGGACGAGAACATAAAGACAAACTCAAAACCACACGAGTATATCAAAACGCTCAACAGCAGTTGAACAAGTACAGCTGACAGTGGAGGATGACCAATCGCTCACATTAACACGATTGCGTGACATGGGAGTAAAGCACGATGAAGCACGTCTATGCCGCCATCGAAGCCGAGATTGAAAACATTAAAACCAGCTCTCGTCTGAACTTCTTGTCGTTCACCGACCGTAAACACCAGCGGAAAGGTCTGCCTGTTTACCCGCATCTGGTCTGTAGTCTTGTCCCACATCTTCGAAGAAAGCCCACAATAAGGTCGACAACTACAACATGCTTGTTAGGGAGGCAGTGGGTCTCCCCCCCCCCCTCTCCCGCCAACCCCTTTATAATGGGGTCCTAGAACCCACGCGGGGAGTGCGAACAATCAGAATCAGTAGAGGTACCTTGGTGTTACTGCTGCAGCAGAGGACTGAGTCCGCAATGTAATGCCCACAGTGCAATAAGCTCGATTGTGAAAACGTATCATAACACAACAGTCACAATAATATAACATGCTTTACTTACGCCCGCAGAAAACGGAAGCCTCGAACACAGACCATGATGTTGCCAAAGCCATCAACTTTCAAGAGCGTGCCGAAATGGTTATCAAACCATAAGCCTCTACCATTGTTGAAAAGATAACAGAAAAATCAGTAATGCAATCAACTGATGATGCCAGTTCGTTTTACATTCATAATTAGTTTAAGTATTGTATTTATAACAAGTCAGCAGCCTCTTCCTCCTCCTTCTTATTATTATTATTATTCCCCTCCTCCTCTTCGTCCACCCACTACTACCACCGCCGCCGCTGCCGCCGTCTTCACTACTACTACTACAAATACTTCTATTGTTGCTTCTAGAGACCTGCGTGGTCTTGAGACATGGTCTCCGCCTTTAGTGCTAGAGGTTCCGGTTTCAATCCCCGGTAGGCGCTGGGATATTTTTATGTAGATTTGGGCTTCTAGTAATTCCCTCTGGTCTCTAGGTAGTGAGATCGGACGCCCGTGTGCATTGATACGCACGCAGAAAAATCCCCTTGATAGTTGAAAATTGAAAAGAGGAGCCTAACAGCGCTGCCCGAACAAAATTTGGAGTTAAAAATCTACCCAAAGTATTTTAGGATTCTGGCCGGTGCTACAGAGCCTGTGCACTGTGCTGAGCTTCTTCGGACTCAAGACTTGAGTAAGAAGAAGAATGAAGCACTTATGGGTAACATCCGTGTGCCATGATGTTGATCCGTTGTTCAAAAACCTCAAACCTCTTGCTGCACCTGCTACTGGTTCTCCTCGACCTGCTGTTGCCGCTGCCGCTGCTGCTTCTACAACACCAACTACTGCTACTGACACTAATACTACTGTAACAACCTGAATATACAAGATAGTCATGGATAATTCCTCATCATCAAAGAAGAAAATATGTGATATTTATTATTATATTTACATATTTTTAAACTGCTACTGCTTCTGCTTCTTCTTCTTTTTCTTTTTTTTTTCTTTTTCTTCTTCTTCTTCTTCTTTTTTCTTCTTTTTCTTCTTCATCTTTCTTCTTCATCTTTCTTCGTCTTCTTCTTCTTTCTTTTTCTTATTTTTTTTCTTATTCTTTTTCTTCCTTTTTCTTCCTCTTCTTCTTCTTCTTCTTCTTCTTCTTCTTCTTTTTCTTCTTCTTCTTCTTCTTCTTCTTCTTCTTCTTCTTCTTCTTCTTCATCTTCTTCGGCTGCTTCTTCTATCCGAGGATGTAACTGCGTTGTGGCTGTTTACAGAATGGCTGCACTACTTGCGTCTTTCACCGACACATCCGCATTCTTCAAGCATTTGTTGTCCTCGTTAGCCTTTCATTACTTGTATTCACGCATTCCTGGATCATCCTCGACCAGACAAACAGTTATAACATTCTACCAGAGCTTACATGGAAGAATACATGCTCATAAAGAGAAGCACACAACGAACACTAACATAAACTCTTTAGTCATATTTAAAGGCCTGCTAATTTAGAGAGTTCAGTAACTTTCTCTTCTTCTTCAAGTTCACTGGCTGTAAACTCCGGCGGAAAGTTCCGGTTGTTCGTCCGCCTATGTACTTTAGTCTTGTCCAGAACCTGAGTTGTGCCTGCACATCTGTTTTACGGATCTGATTTTTTTGTTATGCAGACTGTTGGTGCCTTGCCTCTCATGAAGATGTACTCCCACTTCAAAGACAGCACCAAATAGACGACGACTAACACGACACGTTTTTTTTTTTTTTTTTTTGGGGGGGGGGGGGAGGAAGTTGGTCTCTTCTTGTTTTCCCCACAATGGGACCCAGGAACCCACAAAAGAGTCATCATCAAGTGCCTTGCCGACTGGCGTGGGAAATCATACCTCTCCATAACCCGCGATCCGCAACTGCGTGTATCAATCAGTTCATGTGCTGACTGACATCATGCCATGTCATGACGAATGGCTGTCAAAAATATTATCGTGCTTTCTTCATCTGTCACTCTTTCCCCAGATCTTTCCAGTGGTCACGAAAAGTTCGAGTTCCCCTCTTGTCACAATACAGCCAAAAAATGATGACCGTCGCTTTCTGATGTTTTTTGACACGTTGTCTTCGAACACTCGCCTCTATCAGAAAATCTAGGCTGCTCTTCTTAGATGTTCATGGAATTCTAAGGATTCTTCTGTAAAAGCATATCTCAGATGCCTCAAGAAACTGTTCGGCTTATTCATATTAATTATCCAGGATTTACATCCGTATGTTAAAAGTGGCTCTATATAGTATGTGATAATTCTTTTGCAGTACACACAGTATAGTGAGTTAAGGCAACGGTTTCCAAAAAGCTGAGACATTCGGATTTCGCTTATTTGTTAAGGTCTGGCACGGAAACATACATCTCAATGCCATACTGCAGAACTTCCCCATATTGGTTCTGGGACTCATTGTGAGGGAAGCAACAACAACAACAACTACAACTACAGGTTTGTAATGGACCTGCAACGTCACCACCCACCTGATGGGAAAACTCGGGTCGTACTGGAACTCATTAATATCCTCGGGGTAGCCCAGCTCCATCAGTTTTTCTTTCATCAGGTTGAAGCCAAGGGTTTCATACTCGGGAGACTTGTATGCTGAGAGACAGGGAATACACTTGATTTGTTATCAGAATCGACTGACGTCACAACAATGGATACTCTTATGCGTGCTCCTGTGTGGATGGATGGATGGATGGATGGATGGATGCATGCATGGATGCATGTCATGACAAATGGCTGTCAAAAATATTATCGTGCTTTCTTCATGTATGTATGTATGTATGTATGTATGTATGTATGTATGTATGTATGTATGCATGCATGCATGCATGCATGCAGGCAGGCAGGCAGGCAGGCAGGCAGGCAGGCAGGCAGGCAGGCAGGCAGGCAGGCAGGCAGGCAGGCAGGCAGGCAGGCAGGCAGGCAGGCAGGCAGGCAGGCAGGCAGGCAGGTATGTATGTATGTATGTATGTATGTATGTATGTATGTATGTATGTATGTATGTATGTATGTATGTATGTATGTATGTATGTATGTATGTATGTATGTATGTATGTATGTATGTATGTATGTATGTATGTATGTATGTATGTATGTATGTATGTATGTATGTATTTGTATGGGTGTGCTTGTGTCTGTGTATGCATGGGCATATAAGAGTATATGTGTACGTGTATATTCGGAGTGTATATAGCTGTGTGTATACATGATGTGTGTATGCATTATTTCATTATGAATACTTTTATATAAGTATAACATGCATTATTGATACCATACAAGTGGGGTCTGAAAGATGAGTGATTAGAAGAGAGAGCCGAATGTAAGAAAGGCCTGCGTACCCAATTTGTAACCTTCTGAAAATAAAGTTCGTTTGTTCGTTCATTCAGTAATCCGATGCAGTAACCATCTCTAGGTTAACCCTGCATGTTGTTTCTCCGAGACGTTGGTTATAATGTACTCTGTCCTGTCCATGAAGATAATAAACTACAGAAACCAGAGATATATATCCCAAGGGTACTCCAATGTTCCAGATGCCAAAAGGGATTTCATACCAAGTCAGTGTGCCGCAGCAAAACAGAGATTTGCAGATATTGTGCTGACTCTAACTCCTATAATGAGTGTCCATTAGCAAGACAAGATAAAAATTATCAAAAACCAAATAGCAATCGACGATGCAGCAACTGTTTTGGACAGCACGGGGCGAGGTATTTTGGATGTCCCTATCTGCAACTTTGCCAGGAGATCCTCAAGATAGCAATTACTGAGAGAGTACCATGCAAAGAAGCCAGAAGAAGATGCAAAGAATCCGAATACTTCACCCCAGTGGAGAAATCCAGGATGCAGAATCAGATCAGAAAGTTAGAAGAAGAGGTCAAGATATTAAAGGCAAATAAGTTGACTCCAGAGAAAAACATGTCAGAAATTAATGACCAAGCAAGACAGATACTTGCAGAGATGAAGGAGATGAGAGAGATATTGGACTACAATATAAAGAGACTTAATAACATAAAAGCAGAAACAATAGCAGCACTACAGAATTGCAGAAAAAGCAGGATGAAAGCCGTGAAGACAACAGCTCCAAGCAACTCCAAATAGACCAAGATAACAGCGAAAAGCCAATAGACGATAAACCAAAAGAAACATCGCGGAAAGAGTCTACTGGTAAGCAGCAAGAACTTGAAGACAGACACAATGCAGAAATGAACAGAAGGTTTCCACCATGAAGCATCAAAACCAAAGAAGACCGAAGAAAACAAGCTCAATACGGAAAGAGACTGAGGGAAGAGATGAGAGAGACGATAGAGAAGACAACATCTACAGACACCTACCAGCCAGACACAAAACGTCAAGCAACACAGAGGACGCCAGACAAAGATGAGAAGGAGAACAACACAAGCAAAGATGGAAAGACAAAATTAAAAAAAAGTCCTTGCAAGGACTAAGCATTTTACATCCTAGAAGCCAAGACAGAGCGGCAAAACGTGACAAGAAGAATAGAAGCCAGAAACAACCAATCAGAAAATAGGAATCACAAGACGACGAGAGGATAGGACAGAACCAAAATGCAATATTCAGATGTGTCCTAACATAATCAGGAACGAAACAAAGAGACACAATTAGGAGATAGAAGACCCTTGCCTCGGGATATAACAACATCAGGTATAAAACAACTCTATACAAGGAAGAAGCAACATCAATTAAACCGTTTAGAACAACATAACAAAATGGAACCGAAGGAAACCATATTCAAACAAACCATACTCAATAAAGATCGCAAATATAGGCATCAGCTACATAGCTGAAAATTACTGAACGAGATCGAATTATCTTTTGGACATGCAATCGTGTTGGTGTCGGGAATTCGTCATTATTCGCCAGTCTAGTCTGAATAACATTGATGAAATGAGCTATCGCCATGCATCATCTCTCATGCAGTGCAGCAATACTTTACAGTTGGTGAAGAGAATAAAGTGTGATTGTTCGTGTGGCCAGCTTGAAACTAAACTACAAACGTCAATTTAAATGACGATCTAGATTGGTACGTAATATTCCCTGTACGCTCTCACGCAGCCATAAAATCAAGAGGTAGACAGAGGGACAGACAGGCAGATGGAGAAACAGGCCTCCAGAGAGCCGGGCACACAGGCATATAACCAGACAGGGTGATCGGAAAGGGGGGGGGGGGGGAGAGACAGACAGATGGAGACACGGGCAGCCAGAGAGCAGGGCACACAGGCATATAACCAGACATGGTGATCGGAAGGGGAGTGGGGGAGACAGACAGATGGAGACACGGGCAGCCAGAGAGCCGGGCACAGAGGCATATAACCAGACAGGTGATCGGAAGGGGAGTGGGGGAGACAGACAATGGAGAAACGGGCAGCCAGAGAGCCGGGCACACAGGCATTTAACCAGACAGGGTGATCGGAGGGAGGGAGGGGGAGACAGACAGATGGAGACACGGGCAGCCAGAGAGCCGGGCACACAGGCATATAACCAGACATGGTGATCGGAGAGGAGGGGGATGACAGATAGACATTGGGGACAAAATAGACGGACGGATGGACAGACAAGAGATATGCAGACAGACAGATATGTTGGCTGGAGGGCGGACGGACCGACTCACTTACAGAAAACGAACGAACAGATAGAGAGAGAGAGAGAGAGAGAGAGAGAGAGAGAGAGAGAGAGGGCAAGTAGGGGGTGGGTGAGTGAGTGGATGGATGGAACAGAAAGGAAAGAAAGGACAGACAGAAATACTGACTGATAAACAAATAGATACATAGAAACACAGAGAGACGGACAGAGAGATAAACAGATATATGTACATTTGCTTGTGTCATATTGAATCTGATGCAATCAATTTGTTGTTCTATGGATTATGACTCAAACGTCAATTACCAACAAGGTTCCAGTTACAAGCAGTGTCTTTCTTCTAGCAGACAATTTCAACCCTAGAGCCAGACAGAATCTAGTGTTTACACACTAACCATATTCAGCCGTCCAAGTAACGACATTCCAATGAACTAGACCATCAGTTTGTTTCAGACACTCTACAGCTACCAGGAGCTACCGTGGTCTAGCGGCTAGATTCTCGCCTGCAGATCGGAAGGTCGTGGGTCGGGTCCTAACAGGCAATTATTTCTATCAATAATGACCTTGGCTCCAACCCAACCTTGAGTGGGAACCAGCTACAGTCCTAGGAAGTAAAGGCGACCAGCGTGATGCTGACCATATCATCCACCAAAAATATAAACAAAATATAGGTCTAGCCCGGAACTTACAGTCGGCGAACAAAGAAGAACAAACAGCCAAATAAGTTACCAGAAGGGTGACATCGCCACCATTAAAAATCAGCCAGACTAACAAGACAAATGCGGTTATCTCATGAGGCATGGGTTTGGTCATCTTGTTAGAACGCAGCCCGGACAATTCTCAGCACAGGCGCTACATTAAAAAGATGTGAAAAGGGAGCAACACATTCCCAAGGAGAGGATATACTGACGACACTGCAGACGTATTACATGGACATGGAATGACCACAGCCAGTGCTCCCCAATAAAGCTTAACGGCAAACTGTGCAAGTTGATAATGACGATGATTCAAAGAGCCGATATTCGAATGTCAATCCAATACAAAGAAACTACACAGACAGCGTTCAATGTACACTGGATACAGTTGCAGTGTATCCATCCAGTGCAGTCCACAAAATAAACACCCCAAGGATCAGTGTACAAACACCAATAAGCCTGGTTTAAACGTAACGTTATACTGGGTCCCCAACAGTAAGGAATAAGCCTAAAGTTTGGAGTAAGTAAGAAAGTTGCATTGGAACATGTGAATGAGCGAAGTTGAACCCCAGCCGAATCGCACACTGAGCCATTAACAACCGGTGACGCAAAGTGCACCGTGCCATTATTCGGCTGAGAGTTTCTAGGGACAAATCCTAGAAAGCCTGTTCAACCGTAAGGTTATATTGATCCCCCGACGGTTAGAAAATAACCCAAAGATCATACAAGATAGGGTACGGATGTTAACATTCTGAGAACGTGCTCAGATTACTGCTGTCCCGAGGAAGTTGCATGCACTATACTGTTATTTATCCCGCGTGTTATATGTCAACAGGGCACAAGATATGACAAATATATTCTTCTTTACTATCCTTTCTTATTGTTAAGAAGAAGCTTTCCTCCCGCTGCAATGTAATTACTACGCATTCCTATTTTTCCGTGCCCTTTCTTTCATTTAGAAGCCATACATCAAGAATATTTTCACAATCTAGAATTGTTTCCCATTCCTTTTACGCACGGTTATTTATCTCCCCTACAAACCTATAATTATCAACTGTTACTTTCAGTATTGGAGAATCAGACGAACGCTACAAAACCCACATCCCAAGCCGCAAAGCCAATCCCTAATCTGTTTAAAGCATTCCACTAAGAACGGGATTTAGCCACGACGGAAAATTAGTCATCCCAAGCTACAAGCAAAAAACCCCGAAGATCTACGGAGCGGGGTAGACTTCCATGGGAAGTCTGGTAACTCGATACTCTATAGACTTTCCGCTTGACTTCCATGAACTGTACTGTAACGTG